CCAAGCGGACACTGTCTCAGCTGTAACTCCCACGCGGTTAGGCCCCAAACGGGTAGGATATGATATTTTTTTATTTCGTGAGGGCGGCGTAGCCGCCCGAACCCAAGCATTACTATTCACACACCCCACTGTCTACATGGGTTATGACTTTAAATTTCGTGCACTCTTACCGAAAAGTACGTACAACGCATGCGCATGTGATCACAGAGCATGCGCATATGACCACAGAGCATATTTCAGTCGCAACGTAACGTCGGTATGACAGATTTCCTAACCTGTAATCGTCGACTTTAACGCTTAATAACTCGGTTCGCGGGGCAGAGCGACGCTTATTTCTGCCAGATTCTTTCGTTTTAAGCAAAAACGCGTCGAATGAGCCTATGTTCATCGATTTTTGAGGTGAGCGGCTAAACTGTATAATTGCCCAATGAATTTGTTTATAAAGTAGTGAATTTGTTTTGGAAGTACTAATTCTTTGTGTTTGTAGATCAGGGCCCCTATCCTTGAGCACATACGAATAATTTTCGCATACGAAAATGATAGTTTCTCGATTGTGATTGGTCGATTGTATATGGAATTGCTATTTTCATATGCGATATTTGTTCAAGAATAGGTTCTCTGAGAATTTGTTGTAGAACCTAAAACGCATGCGTATGCGGCCATAGAACACGAAAATGTGACCGCAGCGCATGCTCGCACCGCAGTATTTCGTGGTTGTGACAGATTTCCTAACCTACATAGTTATCAACTTTAATGCTTAATACCTCGATTCGCGAGGCAGAGCGACACTTTTTTCGGCCAGATTCTTTCGTTTCATGCAAAAACGCATCGATTGAGTATATTTTTATCAAATTTGAGGTGGAGGGGGGTCTTCTTAACATTTACCGTAAATTTTTATTAATTTGTCGGTAATCGTTCTTCAATTATCTCCGGGCCCTCAGGGCCCATTGATAGTCACGAAAATTTGCCCAAAGCCGACGATGTTTAAGGCCTCGTCTACAATCAAGTCAGATGACGCTTGTTGGACGCTTGTTATAGCGTTTTTCATTGGCAGAACTAGTGCGCACTCAGTGCACTTTAAGGCCCCTGAGTAGTCGCGGCGGCCATGTTGGAATCGTGAAGTCAGAAGCGAGGAATGATACGTTAATTTATGCACGATGCCATTTGTAAACAGAGACAATTTGGATGAAATTAAACAATGGGTTCGCTTTAAAACACTTGTAAAAATCGATGAAAACTGTCCTTTTCTCCCTTGATAGTCAGTAAATGGTCGTAAAAAACTCGTAAAGTGAGCCTATATTCTGGCAGAAACACACGGTTTCATAACTGTTGAAACGAGTTAAATATACACTTTTACGTATAAAATTCCAAGATAACTTTAGTTGTCATCGAAAATTACGATTTTGAGAAGTACGAAATAAGTCACATTTTCACAATTAAGCAAATAATAACGAAATGGCATTGTGCACAAATTTCATCGTCAAAACTGGTCAAAATGTCACTTTTCCACGCCATAAGTTCGGCCATTTATCATGGTGTGGTGCCGTAACACACAAACAAGCACGATCCCATGTCCGTGTGCTCGCAGGCGACATGGGCTCGTGCTTAAGTGTGTGGCTACCGATTTTGCCAGACCGCCGTCTGATACTGTGCCACCGTCAACACAGAGTTCTTGGCTGAGTAGTCAGGAGCGTTAAAGCTGTTGTACAAAAATTGACATAAAGATATACGTTTAATAACAATATATAAACGAATTAAACCGTGAAATATTCGATACATTTTATTGTGCTATTTGATAAAATAAATTTTGAGCATTTTATCGATTGAGATATCTCACTTTTATATTTTTTTAGTACAGTGTACAATAGCTTTAATGTGCACTGAGTGCGCATTAGTTTTGCCAATGAAAAACTCTATTAGTCGTAAAAGATGGGACCTGGGGCACTATTCTGTAACTGTCTTTACACGCCTACCGACAGTTGTTGATGTCGTTGCGCAGATATTTTATATAGCGAAAAAGTTGCACAACAATATCGACAACTGTCGGTAGGCCTGTAAAATAGTTACAGAATAATGCCCCTGACTATCTTCCAAACGACGCACGGCAGCCGACAATCGACATCCGACACGTAAAAATCGAGATTGTGAACATGCGCACGACATACGACGTCTCCTGTCTGACTAGGCCTAAGCCCGGATCCTCATACGGGCAACAGCGCTTTGACACACAGCACTAATTGGTGAAAAGCCGATTGTGGGGGTAAAATTTATCCCCATCACTCGTTTTTCGCCAATCAGCGTTTGGTGTCAAAGCGCTGTTGTCCGTATGAGGATCCGGGCTAAGGGCTGCCGCACACAAAATTTCGTAACTGTATGCGTAAGGTGTAAATTTAAGCCGATGAACCAATCAGGATACTGCTTTAGATTACGTAATCTAACGGAAATGAAAATAACAGTAAATTTATTCATAACCTCGCAATAAGGCGAATTTCAACTGGTTGAAACTCGCCTTATGGATAAGTTTACTGCTATTTTTATTTTCGTTAGAATACGTAGATCTAAAGCAGTATCCTGATTGGCTCATTGGCTTAAGTTTACGTCTTAAAGTTACTGTTACAGAAATTTTGTCTGCAGCAGCCCTAATCATGATATAAAGACAAGGATATGCTCGTCTGGTGGTAACCCATTGCGCAGATATGGAAAAGAGGGGGTAAACACGTGACCGTCAACAAGTTACGTCACCTTCGAACGATTTTGTCCTTGCTTAAGGCCTTGGCACATAGAAAAACTTAAGACGTAAGACTTAAGCAGTAACGAAATCAACATGTTGGATTCGCTATTGCTTACGTATGGTCTTACGATCTCTATTGTGATTGGTTGATTCGCTTACTGCTTAAGTCTTACGCCTTAAGTTTTTTTATGTGCCATGGCCTTTAAATTTAATAAATAACAAAGATGAAGCGACGCTTAAAGCATTGTAAGCAGTAAAGCGAACACAGCCATGGGCGCAAATCACGGCTGTGAGTATGGCCGGTATTCATAGTCGGATCTTATATTTCAGACTTCACGCCATTTAATGCAAACTGCTTCATCATTTGGAAATGAAAAATATTTCACCGGAAGATTTTTTGTTTTCCGATAATAATTTTTACATCCTTTTACTGCACATTTTATTTTAATCTGTGATCACAAAATACAATCACTTTATAAACAGACATAGGCTGGTATTTATAGTCGATTCCTATTTCAAGACCGTCTTAAGTACAGTCTTAAGAAGTCACGAACCAGTCAGAGGGCTACATTAGCGTTAAGACATTACTTAAGACGGTCTTGAAATAAGAATCGACTATGAATACCGGCCTTAGTTTCATAAACTCACAACAGTATTGTTTGTGCACGTCATACACTGAGTGATACACTATCGTGTGGTCCATTAATATAGCGTTTTTTCTTTCGCGTGGTCTCACGGATCAACCTTAGTACTTGAGAGTTAAATAAATTTCTGAAATATATTATATATTTTTATTTTTTGTATTTCTTTTTATAATATTTTTGTATTTATAATATTTTTTAATATTTATTTTGTGTTTAATATCTTTTGTATTTGTTAAAATGTATTGCAAAGAGCGCTGTAAGTATACTGAAAAATAATATATTCGAATTTACCACGAAACGATGACGTAACTTGTCAATAATTCTGATTGGTCGTTCGACTGTCACGTGACACAAGACTTCTGACGTTCTGACTTGCGGCTTATTGTAGAAGGCCCATAAGTCTTTCAAGCATACATGGTGGTTCAGAGTAGAAATTTCGAGGGAAGTATTACGTGTATTGTCCATTTGGTGAAATATGTGAGAAATCTCGAGAGATTGGTCTAATTTTTGTGACATAGTGATGAAGTGAAAAAGTGAACAAAAGTATATAGAAAAGTATATAGAAAACCGAGCAAAAAGATTTCTTTTTATTTATTGTATTTTAAACTTGTTTTTTGGACATATATGTATATAAATTTCTTTTATATCAGCTTTTTTATAATATTTTCATAGATATATAATTATATAATATTTCTTTATACAAATATACATTTTTAAGTTAATTTAATATTTTTCCTAGTTTTTCTATATTTTTTCTTTATTTTTCAATATATTTACAATTTATTTTTATTAATTTTTATAAAATTTAAATTATTTCATTGCAATAGTAGATTTATTCGCGTCGCATACTCTAATATATTCCAATATGTTCCTACAATAGCACTTACTCACTTCAACGAATTCGTTGGAATGTGATGCGAACAAATCTAGTGAGTTTTGCGAGGAATTTTGACAGAGTGAAAAAAGGATGAAAAGAGAAAGAAGTTTAGGTGGTAACCGTAGTGACGCTAGGTAACTTACTTATTTCACGCATGCGCACTCCATTTTGACCAACACTAACATCAAAGGTGCCGACAGAGAGTTGCGCTACTGTATATATTGTGATAATAGTATCTCGTCGGTGTCAGTTTGAGCCTTGAGCAGTAGTAGGGGAACACCAGACAACGTCTCAGGAATTGGCCGAAATGTACGACACATGACTCCAAGCACTGTAATTATACTATATCATAGTATAATTACAACTGCTTGATATAATCTAAAGAATAAACATTTTGGATATTTTCAGTTTATAGAAGAAAGATTAAATATGCTTAATTCAGGACTAGGCTTCTCAGATGAATTCGAAATGGAAGCCTGCAGTTATTCGGCCAAATCAAGTAGTAAATTTATGCAGCAATATAGGGAATGGACTTACACTATGCGAAAAGAGAGCTCCGCATTTTTCCGTAGTGTAAAAGATAAGGCATGTTACATTAACATTTCAATTAAATTGGACAGTATTGTAGAGTTTATCTCCAAAACATCTGCTATCTGCCTTTATTGTAAAAGAAAATAAAGTAATATTTTATTCTGCTACCTTCAATTGCAGGCCAATCCAGCAGTAAAATATGCTGTTAGATCAGTAAGTTTAAAACATAATTTATTACAAACATTGTTTTGTATATAATCACGTATGATTTATCAGTTAACATTTTTGAACATTATATTTATAATTTTTTATATTATTTGATATCTATTAGAATATATAATAAGAGTTAATGGAAGAAATATGCTATAAAGGTTGATATCTACAGGTGAAAGATAGAGGCAAAGATATGAAAACGGCATATAAAGGATTGAAATGGAAAGGTATGTTTTCGTGATCTTTGTAATCTTTATTATTATTATGACATATTAAAATATTAAATGTATATTTATAAATATTATATCTATTATAAATATTTATGTGGGAGACAGGACGATTGAATAGAAGCGAAACTAATATGAGGTTTCATCAGCCACGATCAGCTCCCAGCTCACCTACATTAGATAGAAGACCTATTGGATTTACGTCCCCACCAAAATCTCCAAATGGTGTGTCAGTGGCAATTAATTGCCGAAAAGATTTACGTTCGAGGAATAATAATTTCACTGATACAAGGTATATATAATATATATATAATTCAACTTCAAGTAAATTCTTTTTAGCTGCATTTCTTGTACAGTTTAGCTCTTCTTTTGTAGCTAAAAAGAACATTATAAATACTATTTAAAGGTAGCACATCCAATACGCTATTTATGCTAGTCACTGGCCGATGTAAGTTGATGTCGTAACTAGGATGTGCGTACCTTCCAATTTAGCCAATGGATTTTGGCTCAACAAACAAAAAAATACATTAAAAATAGCTAATCACACTTGTGTTATAAAAAAGGATCAAAACTTTCGTATCAAGCAAATGTTGTTACGACTTGACTAGAATCCTATATATAAGAGAAGCGACATCGGCGTCACGATTTTTGATTGGTGATATCCCTATCTAATTAAAACAGCCATATTGTGCCCATAGTGGAGAGCTATCATATGTTTCCTTTCTACAGCTGAACTGGTACATACACAATACACATACCTAAAATAGACATACAATATACAAACTATAGAAATCAAAGTCTTAAAATTTATATACTACGTATGTAGTCCCCAGAAACGCGCGCCGAAATGATTTTTCGGTCTTGAAACGTTAACTCTATTAAACTACCGCAGTAATGTCACGAGTTAAATTGACTGGCAATTTAACAAATTTTTGATGCTTATTCGCATCTTCGAAACGTCTTAATAATGATGAATAACATATTAAAATCTGTAAATAATTAATTCTTATTGCGAAAAATATTACCTCGGCCGGGAATCGAACCCATAGTATATAAATTCACATAAGAATCATACAAGCATTAAGATCCAGCTAGACCATTTAAGGCTTTGATTTCTATAGTTTGTGTTATCACATATACGGTACTATAATATATTATATTACAATATACCGGTTACCTTTTTATGTGACATTTTTGTAATTGCATTACTTAATTGCTACATTATTCAACAAGAAAACACAAAACATTAATACTTGCTGGTCGATAGCGAATTTATAATTTAATCTGCGACGGTAAATAATCGCGTGTTGCGCTGAAATGAAAAGGTTATAATATTAGTTTCTGAAAAGAATGTATCATAGAAATTATAGTTAATTAATTTAGCCTCTTTCGTGTCCATAATGAGGAACGAATACTAAAATTCTATTAGTCGAAAATAAATAATTTTGTAAGCCAGGCATTCCAGGCAGGGTCACGTTGGCACTTATATTCCTTGAAGCCTTGTTGTCCACTGCAGGGAACTATTGAAGATAATCCGGTCACAGTGATCCAGGTTCAGATACAAAACATTCGAAGATGCTAGTGAGAAGCCCTATTTGCTCGAACGAACGGACTGCAAGCCGTCGTTGCTACAGAGCCCAGACGGACTTCTAGCCGTAATCTCGAACGAACGGACTGCAAACCGTCGTTGTTACAGAGGCTAGAGTGACTTCTAGCCGTACTTTTAGATATTTCCAGAGTTCTCGTGCTCTTCTTTAACCCTTGGTTATTCCGAAGATGCACTTAACAATGAAGATTAGACTACCAGCCTCAATTGGGCTCACAGCTCCTCAATTGTCGTGTACAACTACTAGTATCGACCTTGTAAGCAATATTGCCTTGCGTATATTTGAGTACTCGCAAGAAACAGGATCTCGAGATCTCCATAAACACGCAGAGGACCCTGACTTGGTCTTCTCTGCACAACAACATGGCCGATCGACCCTAGAGATCCTATAATCAGAGTTTGGCCAATGCGGTCCCAACTTCTGATTGGTTCTCTACTTCTGTCCATTCGGTATTCTTCGGATAGCTTCGTACATTGTCAGAAAACGAGTTCGAAGAATAGAAAGAGACAGATAGCTCTAATCAGGGGACAAAAGTGAGCAAATTCATTAGAATATTTATAATTTAATTGATCAGTACA